AATCTCTGATATTTCTCATAACAGTATTTTTTCTGATATATCCTATTGAGTAAGGGAAGCAAAAGAAAAATAAACAAATAGGACTACATCAAACTAAAAAGTTTTTGCACAGCAAAGGAAACCATCAAAAAAATGAGAAGACAAATTGCTGAATGAGAGAACATATTCCCCAAAATATCTGATAATGGTTAATATCCAAAATTTATATGGAACTTATAAAACTCAACAGAAAAAACAACAACAACAAACAATTCAATTAAGGTATTGCATGTTTTAAAAATTCTTGTGGTACACCGGTTGAAATCTTTACTCCACAGTATTTGAAGAATCATTTCTTCCATTCCATTCCATTCCATTCCATTCCATTCCATTCCATTCCATTCCATTCCATTCCATTCCATTCCATTCCATTCCATTTTGTTTGCCTTAGCTATTGTCAAGTATTTCTCTAACAAGAAGGTAACTAGAAGCCTTTTCCTTTATAAATAAAAATTTACCTTCAAACTTCTCAATATGTTAAAGACTTTGTGGTCTTTTCAATGTTGGATACATTGTTATGGCATAAGTACCAGTTATAGGGAAGTCACAAAAAATTCAACAGGGGCTGTGGTAATTAGCAAGACAAACAACAATCTCCCTAAAGCAGGATCTTAAAGAATAAGTCACTGTTTGGGGACAAAGGGGAAATAAAAGAAGGACAAAGCTAGGATGGATTCAATTCAGAACCTAGTTATCCATGAAGATCTGTAACCTTTCCTCTTTGGGGACATAAAAGTTGATAGTGTCTTAGTATATTGAAGGCTGGGATTATGCCTTTAGTTTTGCTATAATCAATACCCTACTCCCAGTGAGTGCTCAACAAAAGTTAGATGGTGATGAGGAGCTGGCAATAATGAATTCAATCATTTGTAAAATTTATTAATTCATGAGGATTCCTTTTTATGTTGTTTCCTCTCAAAATATATCCCACATCTTCTAAGATTCTGTTTAATACATATTATGAACATGCCATATATGTAGAATTATGGTAAAATATTGTCTTTGAAATGTAACACTACCTTAAATGGCAGTGGTTCTCAAAGGAGAAGATGTCCTATAGCGAACATTTGGCAATATCTGGAGACATTTTGTTGACACAAGATGGGAGTTGTTATTGGCATCTATTGGATAGAGGCCAGGGATGCTGATAAACATCCTACAGTGCACAGGAAGTCCCCTACAATAAAGAATCATCTGCCCCAAAATGTCCATAGTATCCAGGTTGAGAAACCCTGCTAATGGGGAAAAGAAAATGCCTTTAATGTTTGGGTTCCTCATATCAATCCCTCTTTGCCTATGTGATACTACACTATAATCCAGCCTATATATTCCACTTACTACTATAGTAAAGGCTATAAGAAGAGTAAAGAGATTGTCCCTGAATTTTTAAGTCTCAATTACATTTTGACAGTCATATTTAGATGGTGTTTGAATAGACCAAGCCATGTGAGTAAACCTTGCCTAGAAGCCAGGTAGATCTGGGCTTAAATTATTCATAGTCACTTCCATTTTTCACTTTGAACCACTTTTGCAGATGTGGCCTCTGGTTGCAAACTCCCCCGGGAGATTTCAAACACACATATACTCACAGCCACCAGGTAGAAAACCTGAATATTTCCATATCCACAGAGAAGATGAGCCACTCTGCAATAGCAGAGGCAAACTAGGCAATTCTGGGCTCCTGTCCAAATCAGCTTCTTAATTGCACTAGATCCTCCAGTAGGTTTGTCCGGGAATTTGTATAGCAATACCTGACATTTGCATGGTGCTTTTAACTTTGGAAAGGGTTTTCCTTTTTATATCCTTGATCTCCTGAAGAGGTTTGCAGAGTAGGGAAGAAGCAGGTAGAAAATTTTGGGTCTCATCCACAATGTACTGGGAAAGCACCCAAATTCAAAACATCCATAATCCTCATATGTTAAAGACAACTGCATTGTATATAGGGCCTTTGAAGGAGACAGCTCACAAAAATAGGGCTTTCCTTCTCCCTCTGCACTACTCCTGCTTGTGTCCAAGGTTTGGAAAAGAAACCTTAGTTGGACTGCAGTTTGGTCAGAGAAAAGAACATGCACCGAAGTCTTGTCCTAAGCCACATATCTTATTCACCCTTCATACCAAAGGAGGGGCCAGCTTAATCATATCATAGACCTCTTTTGTTTGGGAGGCTGTACATTTGAGGTTGCTGGCCACAGTTGAAACTGCCTTTGAATGGGAAAAAAGCAGATAAATTCCAGAATCTAGTGTGTGTGTTTTTTTCACCCACATCATTGGCCAGTCTTTACAAACACTTCCTGAAGTGTTTAACAGTATAGAAGAGAGGCTCCAAACTCACCCCTGACAGCCCTCCCCGCCCCCTCCCTGCCACACGCACACGGAAACACAAACTCTTCAATCCCTCAAAGCAGTACCTTTTTCCAATGCCTTGCTCCCATACAAAAGCTCAATATTTTCCAGAACATTGGACCACCTCAGGGCTAAGGGGCCTGAGAACAACAGAAAAACTTCTCTTGCTTGGTGTCTGGAGGGGATTTCCCAAGGTAGCCTAGGAGCATTGCTAGCACAGCCACTAAACATAACTATGCCAGCTTCACCCTTCACCGGGAAGGGAATGGGAATCTTGGGCCACATAAGCAGGAGAGACAGCTCTGGCTCTTTCTGGAGCTCTACTTAGGCTCCCAATGTGTGCTCAGGGGCTTAAGGCAACAAGGGAGCTTTCTCTCAGCTCAGGGTTGTTCTGAGAATGGGTAGGGAAAAGGTTTCAGGTACCAGCCCAGAGTCCAGAAATGCAGATCCTCCCACCCACCCCCTTTCCAGAGAGACGTAATGAGGGAGATAAAAGACAAAGCAGAGCTTTGGGGCTGTGTGACCAGGTCAAGAGATGCTGCCAACTAGCGGATCTAAGCGCCAGGGTTACAGGTAGAAATCTCAGGCTTGTGGTGGGGGAGGGGCCATTCAATCAGTTTCAGGAGGGTTCCTGAGGGTCGGCATACTGAGTTACAGAGTATAGGGTGAGAGGTGTCTCACATGGCACCAAGATCAGAGTGCCCAAGGGTCCGGTGACAGCTCTGCCCCCCACCCCCCCATGCCACACACACACAGACACCACTGCCACCACTAAGCAAGTTACTCCTTCATCCTACTATACCACTATCCGTCCTCACTCCCTTTCAATCTCGGCTGGATCCGGGGAGACCGACCCCATGGGTAAGAGGGGCAGGGATGGAAGAATTAGGCTGCACTTCTGGGTTGCCTGCACTGGGTTACACTTAGATCCATCAGGGATCGAAGCCCGCCCAGGAGGATCCCAAGTCTGTCCCCAGCGACTCAGGGTCCCTCTGTCCCGCTGTCCACCTGCCACTCCCCCGCTATCCCGCTGGCTCAACTTGCCTTGCCGAGGGATGAATGTGGCTGCTGCCACCTGCCCCGAGCCCATAATGAAGGGACAGGTGGGGGGCACTGTCCAAAGCAGGGGACATTCAGAGCAATGGGCAAAAAGAGACTCTGCAAGCCAGGCACCTGGAGGCGCTCCGGTCCCTTCAACCCACACCCGCGTTCAGCCCCCCAGTCTCTGCCACCACCCGGGGGGAGGCCCAGGGAGAGCAAACGAATGAAACAGAAAATTCCGTACCGAGGGGGGAGAGATGAGACGGTGGGACAGGGCAGCTGGGGCTGACTTGGGGTTGCGGCTGCGGCTTCCTTCCACCCCTGGCCACCGAGCTGCAGAGAAGGCAGGAGCTGCTGCCCCTGCAGGCTGCCCCGTCCTCCCTCTTTCCCTA